GAGTCAGTTCTGACTCATAGCGATCCTGTACAGGGTTTCCGAGGCTGTAAATCTTTATGGGAGCAGAAAGCCTCATCTTTCTCCCACGGAACAGCTAGTAGTTTTGAACTGTTGACCTTAAGTTTCGCAGCCTGATTCCTAACCACTACACTACCAGAGCTCCTTTGCCCTATATTAGAGCCCTTAAATTTGTTCCTATTTTTCAGTGATGACCTTTATATTTCTGGGATTCACATTTAGGTCTTTAATCCATGCTGAATTGGTTATTGTATATACATGACATAAAGGTCTTGTTTCAGTTTTTTGCACATCGATTTCCAGTTCTGCCATCACCATCTGTTGACGAGACTATGTCTTCCCCACTCAATGTCCTTTGGCCCTTTGTCAAAGATCAGTTGGCTGTAGGTGGATGGGTTAATTTATGGATTCTCCATTCTGTTCCATTGGTCTATGTATCTTTCATTATACCAGTACCAGGCTGTTTTGACCACTGTAGACATGTAGTAAATTTTGAAATCAGGCAGTGAGAGGCCTACAACTTTTTTCTTCTTTTTAAGCAGTGCTTTGCTTGTCCTGGGTCTCTTTCCTTTCCATATAAACTTTGTGATTGCTTTTTCCATCTCTCTAAAGAATGTTGTTGGATTCCAGATTGGGATTGCGTTATATGTGTAGATTGCTTTGGGAATTATTGACATTTTCACAATGTTAGGTCTTCCTATCCAGGAGCATGGTATATTCTTCCATTTTTGTAAGTCTCTTTTTGTAGCATTCTGTAGTTTTTTTTTTTGTATAGGTCCTTTGTTTCTCTGGTTACATTGATTCCTAAATATTTCATCCTTTGGGAGGCTATTGTAAGTAGTATTTCTTTCCTAATTTCTTTTTCGGCATTTTCATTATTGGTATGGAGGAATCCAAATGAGTTTTGTACATTGACCTTGTACCCTGCTACTTTGCAGAATCTTCCAATGAGTTCCAGTAGTTTTTTTGTTTGTTTGTGTGCTGAGTCTTTGGGGTTTTCTATGTATAGGATCATATCATCTGTAAATAGAGAGTTTTACTTCCTCTTTGCTAATTTGGATGCCTGTAATTTCCCTATCTTGCCATATAGCTCTGACTAAGACTTCCAGAACAATATTGAATAGGAGTGGTGATGAAGGGCATCCTTGTCTGGTGTTCCTGTTTGTAAAGGGAAGCCTAGTTTCTCTCCATTGAGAGTGATGTTGGCTGTTTTGTGTATTTGCTCTTAATTATGTTGAGGAATTT